CCGACTCTCAGCCGCTGGGCAACTCACTGAGAGGTTCGTGCGTGTGAAAACCTGTGGTCTAGCCTCGGAGTAGAGGCGTCCACGGATCTCCCTGGGGAACCAGGCATATTGAGCCAAAACGGCTTGAGCCAAAATGGCTAACAGGAGGAGGATGGGGAGGAGGAATCAGGAGGAGGAAGAGGAATCAGGAGGAGGAGGAGGAGGAGGAAGAGGAATCAGAAGGAGGAGGAGGGGGGGGGGAGAGCATTCTGCAGTCGATGCCCTCATCATCCGAACCCCGGAGGCCCCGCGACCTCTTCCGGCCACGGCGGGCCTCGGCCGAGGACGGTTCCCCCGCCGGCGGGGATCACGGGAGCGGCCCGCAGACCGGGGAGCGCCATCCGAACCCAAAGTCCGGCGGCGAGCCCCGGGTCATGTGGTTCGCATCCTACCTAAGGATTGGAGGTCGCTGGGGGGGCAGCGTTGTTTCCAGGGCCAGATCCCCGTATGCTCGGCGGGCGCGCTTGATCGGTCAACAGCAATCCTTACAGCCGCCCTTCGCGAGAAGCTCTGATTTCAGGTTTACTCTTGCCGACGATTGGGCTGCTCATGCTTGCTCTTGCCCTACAAAAGCATTGCCCTCTCCCCCGTCGTTCCAGAAACACAGATCGCGTTCCCTGCCCCTCAGCGGGCTTCAACTTAAAAACCGCATCGCAGAAATAATTTCGAGCACCCCGAAAAGTGTCAAAAGTGTCGAAACAGTGTCGCAACAGTGTCGGGCGAGTGTCTCCCGGGGCCCGACAGGTGAAAACCTTGAATTTCGGTACTCCTCTTTGGGCGCTCGGAATTCATCGTGGTGATCAAGGCTAAAGTAGGTTGGAGCATCATAAGCCCAGAGGCCATCGCCAATGTACCGGCGATGTATCGCCGATTCCAGGTCGATGTGTCCCCCCCTATGCGTATCCCACCCCCCTATCGTTGCCACTCATGTCGGCGGCGAGCCGGGGGGGGAGGTGAGACGGGCGGACCTTCTCAGAAGGCTCAGACGTTCCCCGGACTTCTTCGAAGATTTCTATGGTGCTCAGTGGAAGAATGTGATCCAGCAAATCCCTGGACAGTCCCCCGGAACCCCCCGACAGCCCCCTCGAGATGCATACCATGAGCGTTCCAGCATGTGATTGTGACTGGCGCTCGAGCGGCAGCACAGACCCACTTAGGGATGTGGGCCGCGTTGATGCGAGAGCACCACGCCTACAGAAGGGGCGTTGACCTAAGGAACCCAAAATAAGGAACGAGGCCTCTTATTCCCATAAGTTTAACTTCGATGTCGCATCGAAATCCTAAGCAAAACCAAAGGCGAACTGCAAAACAACTAAGGAACACCGAGCCCCTCCCCAACAAAAAGGGTTCCTTCTTCAGGGCCCCGACTGTAATGATGAGGGATGTGGCCAGCGCGAAGGCGACAGCACCGATCCCAGGCGTGGATGTACCAGAGCTTGGGCGAGAGCACCCTTCCCTAGCACGGATGCTGCTGGCACTCGAGCGGCAACAAGATACGGACCCAATAAAGGATGTGGCCAGCGTTGCGGAGAGAGCACCGTTCCCAATCAGGGACGCGGCCAGCACGCAGTTTTGCGAGGACGTCTCGGGCGGAACTGGCCAGACCAGCTCTCGCGCGGCATCTCCGAAGCCAGAATTGTGAGAATGCCTCAGGTGAAACTGACTAGAACACCTCTTGTCAGGGCAGCTCCTCTGAGCCCAGAGCTGCGAGGGTGTCGGAGGCAAAACTTGCTGGACAACCTCGTGCGCGGCATCGTTGAGACCCAAATCTGGAGGACGTCTCATGTCAAACTGGCCGGACTCACTTCAGGTCAGACAGAGTATATCCCAGAGTCGCGAGGACATCTCAGGCGAAACTAACTGGACAACCTCGCACGCAGCATCTCGGAGCCTAGAGTCGCGATGTCGTCGCAGGCGAAGCTGGCTGGACCAGCTCTCGCGCGGCATCTCTGAGCCCAGAGTTGCGAGGATGTCTCAAGCAAAATGTGCTGGATGACATCGTGCGCGGCATTTCGCAGACGAGCCTGGCTGGACCAGCGCAGGTCATAGCATGAGAACCGAGAGTTGCGAGGATACCTTAGGCGGAACTGTCTGGAACACCTCGCACGCACCATCTCTGAGCCCAGAGCTGCGAGGACGTTGAGAAACGGAACTGGTCACACCAACTCTCGCGCGGCATCTGACGATATTTCAAAAGGAACCGTCCGCACCACCACTGGTCAGTGCATCCTGGTGCCCAGAGCTGCGAGTATGTCTCAAGAGGCACTTTCTTGAAAACGTCGCGCGCGGCATCTCTGAGCCCAGATTTGCGAAGATGTCTCATGCGACGCTGACCGGGCCACTTCAGGTCATGGCATATCGGAGTTGCGAGGATAGCCCAAGCAAAACCGGCTAGACAACCTCATGCGCGTCATCTCGGAACACAGACGAGCAAGGAATGTCTCAGGCGGAAGTGGCTGGACAATTTCACACGCAGCCTCCCGGAGCCTGGAGCTGCGAGGACGTCGCAGGCGGAACTGGCCAGACAACCTGCGCGCAGCCTCTCTGAGCCCAAAGCTGCGACAGGCCGCGTGCGCCCTCGCACGCGCGCGCGCCGCCGCCGAGGCAACAGCCGCCGCCATCACCGTCATCGTCGCCGTGATGGTCCGTCTCCTCTTCCTCCTCCTCCTCTAGCCTCCAGCCCCTCCTCGCCCCACGAAAGCGGGGCTGAAGGACGACCACGAGGAACATTCGAGCACCCTCCCCGAGCAGACCTCGATGCTGTGCCCCTGTCGGACAATAATGTCAGGTGCGCAGGAAGCGCACCGGCACGCTCGACCATGCCTTCTCGCCGTTCCCGCTGTCCCCCCCCCTGCTGTCAGCTTCGAGCCCGTGCGCTCGGAGAGAGCCTCCCGGCGACCCATGCGTTTCGGCAGCGCTAGCAACGCTCGCGACATCCACGAGGATCGAGCCAGCGCGCCCGGAGTGAGTCCCCAGCCAGCAACGCTGGCAACGACACGCGCGCTGGCAGCGAGTTGGCACGCCAGGAATGCCCTTGCTGGCTAGCACGCGGGCAGAGCCGAGTGCCCCAGCAACGAACAAGCATATGCTCGCGAGGCTCGCGGGACGAAGCCGGGAGGAACGCGGGCCCGGGACATCTGCGGCGAGAAGCAATCCACCGAACAGCATGAAACCTCTTAGCAGGTCTGGCTCGGGACAAACGCGCGCTCATCCTTCTCAGAGCAGGCCCCCCCCCCCCAGGTGTGGGGGGGGGGGAGGGAGAAGGCGGAGAAGGCAAAGAGGAAAGAGGGGAAGGAAATAGGAGAAGGAGAGAGGAACACGAGGTGAGGCGTGGGCGGGAGAATGGGAGGCGACGAGGAGAGGGAATGGAAAAGAGGGCAGCAGACAGAAATGCGAGGGACAAGAGTGAGAGATGGGAGGAGAGGAGCGGAGGGGGAAGATGAGGAATGAGGAGGAGGAGGGGGAGGAGGAGGAGGATGGAGAGGGGAGGGGAGTAGTAGAGGGGGGATAACCATCCGACCTCTTCATCCCCCCCCCCCGGGGAAATGCGGGGGACTGGACTGGAGGAAAGATGAGGGGTAGGACAGACTAGCGGATGTGAAGAGGGATGTGGGTGACGAACGGCGGAGGGAGAAGGTCCTCCTCCTCCTCCTCCTCTTCCTCCTCCTCCTCCTCCTCCTGATGGAGGGGAGATGGCGATTAGGGGGGAAAGAACAGGAAGTAGGGAATAGGAGGAGGCGAGGAGAGAGGAAACGCGGGGACTCCTTCTCCTGCGACTCCTTCGATTCCTCCTCGCCTTACCCCACTCACCCCCGGCCTCATCCTCCGGTTCCGGGCGGGGATGGGGGGGAGGACAAAGCTGGGAGGACGACGAAGCAAGAGGAAGCAAAAGAGGCATACACAATAGCTTGTGGAGGTCCGCGCGGATTTCTTGGATCTGCGCTGACCCCCCCCTCCCGGTGCGCGGAGCGCGCCAGGGGGTTCCAGCGCAGAAACACAACATCCGCGAGGAGCTCCGAACATTTCTGGTTATGCTGCTCCTTGTTGTTCGTTTCGCTGGAGGCCTCTTATAATAGAATGGGGTCGGAGGATCGCGGCGCCGCGTCCTCGATGTATCGCCGATACATCGGCGATGCAACGGCAATGTTGGCGATACATCGGCGATGCATCGGCGACGTGGGCGTGGAGAACATCGGGCTCCACATCGAGCCGCATCGCCGATGCGTCGGCTATGCGGCGCGATCCTCCGACCCCATCTCATCTACTCGAACCCCATCTGGGAGGCCCAGTACAACCAGACCCTGCAGTATATTCGGCAGTGTCGGGGGCGAGCGAGGCGGGGAGGTGAGAAGTAACTAGAAGCCCTCCTCAGAAGGCGGCGGGGATTCTGAGAACCCCCACCCTACATCGGCGATGCATCGGCGACGAGGGCATGGAGAAAATCGGGCTCCACACGGAACCGCATCGCCGATGCATCGGCGATGCAACTCTCCCTTCTCCTCGGGGACCTACTGACCAAGGTCAATCCAAACCCGGGTCAACCGGGCCTTGCAAGATCCTGCAAGATCCGGCAGGATCCTGCAAGATCCTGCACCCTGACCCGGGTCAGTGCAGCCCTGGCTCTGCAGGAACCTGTAATATCGGGCGCTCTGACTGACCCCCGGTTTGCATTGAGCCCCGTCCCTAGAGGCCTCCCAGATGCGGTCGGAGGATCTCGCCGTATCGGCGATGCATCGGCGATGCACTGGCGACGTCGGCGATGCATCGGCGACGTCCGCGTCGAGAAAACTGGGCCCCACATCGAGCCGCATCGCCGATGCATCGACGATGCATCGCCGATGCATCGGCGATGCGGCGCGATCCTCATCTAGGAGCTCCGAGATTCGAGATTCGAAGAGCATCTAGGATCTCCGAGATTCGAGGAGGGCCGCGCCGCTCGCGCACGACGCTGAGCGCGGCGCATGACCGTGGCGCCGGCGGACCTCGCGAACTTCCAGAGCCGGCAGCGCCCCCCCAGGGCGGGGCAGGCAGGGCGCGCGAAGGGCGGCGGGGATCCGGCGGGGGGGGGGGAGGGCGAGGCGGGAGGGGCACTGGAAGAAGAAAAAACTCGCGGGAGGGCGAGGCGGGCGGGGAACTAGAAGAAGAAGAGGGGTACTAGAAGAAGAAGAAAAAGAGGGGGTACTAGAAGAAGAACAAAAAACATCCGAAGGGGGGCGGGAGGGGTACTGGAAGAAGAAAAAACCATACAAACATAAACTTCTGGCGCTCCGCGCTCATTTCTCGGATCCGCGCCGGACCCCCTTCCCTGGCGCACGGATGGGCCCAGCGCCGATCCGAGAAATCCGCACGGACCTCAGAGTTTTCATGTTCATGTCATTCTTCGTTCCCCTAACAGTGGAGGCCAATCCACAAGAAACATTCCGCAAGAAGCCCAACCATGAGACCCCAGGACGTCCATCGATTTCTGGTGTGGGAGCGTCACGCTTTCCATGACAAAACCATCCGAAACCAAAGAAACCCAGGGCGCCCTGGAGACAAGAAGGGTGTTTCTTGGCATGGGCCCCCACTGTAGTGCCAAAGGAGGCGTTCTCTACGTTTCGTGGCAACGGCCGTTCCCGGCCCTGGCCGCATCCCCCCAAATCAAGGTGGAGTCACGCTTCGTGCTGACCTCCGAATCCCACCAGCCCTCTGGGCGTCGGTGGTTTAGAGCGTTTCCTCTTCCACCCCTCCTTCTTCCCCTTCGGGGAGGGGTTTACCCCTCCCCCTACCCCCTCCCCACTGACCTGGACAGGGGGTTCCGCGGCGCGTTGGAGCGCCCAAGATCGACCCCTGGGAGAGCTAAAATTCGACACCCCTCACGAGGATCGTGGCTCCTGAGGGCGGGGCTGTAATTGGGGAACCCCCCTTCGTTGATCGATCTCCTCCAAGATGGCTCCGAGGCCCCCCAAGAGGCCCCCAGGAGGCCCCCAAGAGACCCCCAAGAGGCCCCAAGAGACCCCCCAGAGGCACCCAAGAAGCGCCCAGGAGGCCACAAGAAGCGCCCAGGAGGCCCCCAAAGGCCCCAAGATGGCCCCAAGAGGCCCCAAGAGGCCCCCAGGAGGCCCCAAAGAGGATCCCGAACGGCCCACAGAGGCCCCCCCGAGGCACCCAAGACGCCGAAAAGCTCCTCAGGACGACCCTCTACTCGCCTGGGCGTCGTTTCTGGACGGGCTGGTGGGGATACGCGAAGCGTCTAGAATTTTGGTCATCCCTCGTGCATTCGCAGACGGCGCAGGCGCGCAACGTGACGTTACCAGACCACTCCCCCACTCCACCCCTGGTAACGCCCGTTATCGCCCTGGAATAAAATTATCCCAGCAAAGCAACCTAACAGCGATGTGTAGGAGCATATCTGGAAGCATCCCCCTTAAGATTCAGATGATAATCCAGTTGTAGAGTTCTGCTGTTCTCGCAGTCGTAGTCGCATTCGCGATGACAGTCGCAGTGGCCTGCATTAGCCTCAGCCTCAGCCTCAGCCTGCCTCAGCATCAGCCTCAGCCTCAGCTTCAGCCTGCCTCAGCCTCAGCCTCAGCCTGCTCCTGCATCAGCAGTCTGCCTGCAGCCTCAGCCTCAGCCTCAGCCTGCCTCAGCTCAGCCTCAGCCTCAGCCTGCCTCAGCCTGCCTCAGCCTCAGCCTGCCTCAGCCTCAGCCTCAGCCTGCCTCAGCCTCAGCCTCAGCCTGCTTCAGCCTCAGCCTCAGTCTGCCTTCAGCCTCGGCCTCAGCCTCAGCCTGCCTCAGCCTCAGCCTGCCTCAGCCTCAGCCTCAGCCTCAGCCTGCCTCAGCATCAGCCTGCCAGCCTCAGCCTCAGCCTCAGCCTGCCTCAGCCTCAGCCTCAGCCTGCTTCAGCCTCAGCCTCAGTCTGCCTCAGCCTCGGCCTCAGCCTCCTGCCTCAGCCTCAGCCTGCATCAGCCTCAGCCTCAGCCTCAGCCTGCCTCAGCCTCAGCCTGCATCAGCCTCCTCAGCCTCAGCCTCAGCCTCAGCCTCAGCCTCAGCCCTCAGCATCAGCCTGCCTCAGCCTCAGCCTGCCTCAGCCTCAGCCTCAGCCTGCTTCAGCCTCAGCCTCAGTCTGCCTTCAGCCTCGGCCTCAGCCTCAGCCTGCCTCAGCCTCAGCCTGCATCAGCCTCAGCCTCAGCCTCAGCCTGCCTCAGCATCAGCCTGCCTCAGCCGCAGCCTCAGCCTGCCTCTGCCTCAGCCTCAGCCTCAATCTGCCTTCAGCCTCGGCTTCAGTCTCAGCCTGCCTCTGCCTCAGCCTCAGCCTCATCAGCCTCAGCCTGCCTCAGCCTCAGCCTCAGCCTCAGCCTGCCTCAGCCTCAGCCTCAGCCTGCTTCAGCCTCAGCCTCAGTCTGCCTTCAGCCTCGGCCTCAGCCTCAGCCTGCCTCAGCCTCAGCCTGCATCAGCCTCAGCCTCAGCCTCAGCCTGCCTCAGCATCAGCCTGCCTCAGCCTCAGCCTCAGCCTGCCTCAGCCTCAGCCTCAGCCTGCTTCAGCCTCAGCCTCAATCTGCCTTCAGCCTCGGCTTCAGTCTCAGCCTGCCTCAGCCTCAGCCTGCATCAGCCTCAGCCTCAGCCTCAGCCTGCCTCAGCCTCAGCCTGCATCAGCCTCAGCCTGCTCAGCCTCAGCCTCAGCCTCAGCCTGAGTCTGCCTTCAGCTTCGGCCTCAGCCTCAGCCTGCCTCAGCCTGCCTCAGCCTCAGCATCAGCCTGCCTCAGCATTCAAAATGTGGCCAGGGAATGGAATTCTGGGAACTCGAAGAACACGAAGTGGCCTACAGTTTGCTCCGGGCATTCAAAATCATACCCAGGAATGGAGTTCTGGGAAGTCCAAGAGCACGAAGTGGCCTACAGTTGGCTCCGGGCATCCAAAATGTGGCCCGGGAATGGAGTTCTGGGAACTCGAAGAGCACGAAGTGGCCTACAGTTGGCTCCGGGCATCCAAAATGTGGCCCGGGAATGGAGTTCTGGGAAGTCGAAGAGCACGAAGTGGCCTACAGTTGGCTCCGGGCATCCAAAATGTGGCCCGGGAATGGAGTTCTGGGAAATCGAAGAGCACGAAGTGGCCTACAGTTGGCTCCGGGCATCCAAAATGTGGCCCGGGAATGGAGTTCTGGGAAATCGAAGAGCACGAAGTGGCCTACAGTTGGCTCCGGGCATCCAAAATGTGGCCCGGGAATGGCGTTCTGGGAGGTCAAGGAGCACCAAGTGTGTGACTGTTGCATCCGTTTATTCAGAATGTGGCCTGGGAATGGGGTTCTGAGAGGTCGACGAGCACGAAATGTGTGACTGTTGGTGAAAAACGAGCCCGGCAAAGGCCTGGCCGGCAACTCCCAACGCCTGCCCGGACCCCCCTGTGGAGTGATCTGTGAGCTCTTTTGAGTCAACTAGAAACCTATCAGTCTACGGTGTTAGGTAAAAAACGCTCTCCAGCCCTTAGAACGTGGGTGGAATCATGAGTTCGCTTTTCCAACCTCCTCTTTCCATTTGGAAAGGGGCGGTGTGAGGGACAGCTGAGACTCCGCACGGGTTTCTTGGATCAGCGCTGGACACCCCCTGGCGGACTCCGTGCGCCAGGGAGGGGGGGGGCCCATGGCCCAGTCGAGAGATCCAGGCCGAACTCCGACAATCTATGCTCGTATGCGTGTGCTCTTCGTCTGGCCCTGCCACATCCCCCTTCCTTCCTGCGCGTGCGCCGCCGTGAACATATGAGAAAATTATCCCGGCAAAGCAACCTAACAGCGATGCGTAGAAGCATATATGGAAGCATTCCCCTTAAGATTCAGATGAGAATCCAGTTGTAGAGTTCTGCTGTTCTCGCAGTCGCAGTCGCATTCGCGATGACAGTCGCAGTGGCAGCGTCGCAGTCACAGCCTCACAGCCAGTCAGCCTGCCTCAGCCTCAGCCTCAGCCTGCCTCAGCCTCAGCCTCAGCCTGCTTCAGCCTCAGCCTCAGTCTGCCTTCAGCCTCAGCCTCTGTGCCTCAGCCTGCCTCAGCCTCAGCCTGCCTCAGTATCAGCCTGCTTCAGCCTCAGCCTCAGCCTGCCTCAGCCTCAGCCTCAGCCTGCTTCAGCCTCAGCCTCAGCCTGCCTTCAGCCTCGGCCTCAGCCTCAGCCTGCCTCAGCCTCAGCTGCATCAGCCTCAGCCTCAGCCTCACCCTGCCTCAGCATCAGCCTGCCTCAGCGTCTGCCTCAGCCTGCCTCAGCCTCAGCCTCAGCCTCAGCCTCAGCCTCAGCCTCAGCCTGCCTCAGCCTCAGCCTCAGCCTCAGCCTCAGCCTCAGCCTCAGTCTCAGCCTCAGCCTGCCTCAGCCTCAGCCTGCTTCAGCCTCAGCCTCAGTCTGCCTTCAGCCTCAGCCTCTGTGCCTCAGCCTGCCTCAGCATCAGCCTGCAGCCTCAGCCTCAGCCTCAGCCTCAGCCTCAGCCTCAGCCTGCCTCAGCATCAGCCTGCCTCAGCGTCTGCCTCAGCCTGCCTCAGCCTCAGTCTGCCTTCAGCCTCAGCCTCAGCCTCAGCCTGCCTCAGCATCAGCCTGCCTCAGCCTCAGCCTCAGCCTCAGCCTGCCTCAGCCTCAGCTGCCTCAGCGTCTGCCAGCCTGCCTTCAGCCTCAGCCTCAGCCTGCCTCAGCCCCATCAGCCTCAGCCTGCCTGCCTCAGCCTCAGCCTCAGCATCAGCATCACCATTCTCAGCCTCTGCATCAGCATCAAATGTGGCCCGGGAATGAAGTTCTGGGAACTCGAAGAACACGAAGTGGCCTACAGTTGGCTCCGGGCATTCAAAATGTGGCCCGGGAATGGAGTTCTGGGCACTCGAAGAACACGAAATGGCCTACAGTTGGCTCCGGGTATTCAAAATGTGTCCCGGGAATGGAGTCCTGGGCACTCGAAGAGCACGAAGTGGCCTACAGTTGGCTCCGGGCATCCAAAATGTGGCCCGGGAATGGAGTTCTGGGAACTCGAAGAGCACGAAGTGTGTGACTGTTGCATCCGGCCCTCCAGAATGTGGCCCGGGAATGGAGTTCTGGGAACTCGAAGAGCACGAAGTGTGTGACTGTTGCATCCGGTTATTCTAAATGTGGCCCGGGAATGGCGTTCTGGGATCTCGAAGAGCACGAAGTGTGACTGTTGCATCCGGTTATTCAGAATGAGCCTGGGAATGGAGTTCTGGGAACTCGAAGAGCACGAAGTGTGTGACTGTTGGTGAAAAACGAGCTCGGCACAGGCCCGCCCGGCAACTCCCAACACCTGCCCGGACCCCCCTGTGGAGTGATCTGTGAGCTCTTTTGACACTACTAGAAACCTATCAGTCTTCGCTGTTAGGTAAAAAGCGATGGAAAACAAAAGAAATTACATATTAGGGCGGGTAGGGGGGAGGAAACGGAAAAGGTGGCAGGGATGGGCGGAGAAGGGAGGATGGAGGAGCAAGGAGTCAGAAGAGCCCGCACATTCTCGGGTTCCACTTCGTCCTCCGCCTGCTCCTCCAGCTTGCGCTCCTCTGGGCGTCGTCCCTGCTGCGTCCTCTCCTCAGGACGCCGCGGCCCCGATCAGCTGCCCCGCTCATCCTGCTGCTGCTGCTGCTGCTGCTTCTACTCCTCCTCCTCCTCCTCCTCCTCCTCCTCCTGCTCCTCCTCCTCCTCCTCCCTGGTTCTCTTCCTCCTCTCCCTCGCCTCCCTCCTCCGTGCTCTTTGCTCCTCTTCCTCCTCCTCCTCCTCCTGCTCCTCCTCCTGCTCCTCCTCCTGCTCCTCTCCCTCCTCCTCCTCCTCCTCCTCCTGACGTCCCTCGCCATCGCGGGGCCCGCTGCGCCGACCCGAGCCGAGAGGCGCCCGAATGATGCCGGCGTGCACCACCTCAGTGCGCCCGCCCGTCTGCTGCTGGCCAAGGTGGGGGAACTTCCTCCTCCATCCGTTCCTCGCCTCCTCCTCCTCCTCCTCCTCCTCCTCCCTGCTCCTCCCTGCTAGTCACCTCCTCCTCCTCCTCCTCCTCGTCCTCGTCCACCCTGATCCTCCGCTTCCTTTCTCGCCTCCTAGTCACCCGCACGTCGGTCAGAAGAAGTAGGCAGGAACACGAAGTGGGGAGGCGGATCAGCCAAAAGGTGCTCCCAGAGGTGTTCTCGAATTCTACGCAGGTGCCCCCCCTCTTCATTGCCCTCCTTCGAATATTCCTCCTCCTCCTGCTCCTCTTCCTCATCCTTCGTCTCGTCCTCATTCTCCCTCCCCACCCACCTCCTCCCTCTCCCCTCCTCCTCCTCCTCCTCCTCCCCTCCTCCTCCTCCTCCTCCCTCCTCCTCCTCCTCTCAGGCCTCAGCCTCAGCCTCAGCCTCAGCCTCAGCCTCCCTCAGCCTCATCATGATCATGATGATGATGATGATGATGATGATGATAATGATGATGATGATGATGATGATGATGATGATGATGATGAATCATCATCATCATAATCATCATCAGCATCATCATCATCATCATCATCATCATCATATCATCATCATCAGCAGCAGCAACATCATCATCATCATCATCATCATCATCATCATCATCACCACCACCACCACCACCACCACCACCATCATCATCATCATCATCATCATCATCATCATCATCATCATCATCATCGTCCGCCACCTGTCCTCCTGCTCTTCCGCCTCCTTCACCCCCTGCTCTTTCTGAGTCTGCTCCAATGCATGATCCCGCCACATCCCCCAAACAAAACACTCACGGTTACCACACGAGCAGATCTGACGCACAACAACAATCGGATAGACACTCGTCCCTGCATCCTGGCTATCCGATACGGTATCGCGCCTTCGGGCAACGATAGAAAAGGTTGGAAGACGACACAAAAGAAGACGCGTATTCAAAATTAGCCTGGCGAAGGACCCGACCATATGCAGTTGTGAGTACCGCAGTTTGGGATATTGTCATTGGTGGAGCTCCCCAAAACGTGTGAGGCGTGTGCCGAAATGGGTGGCGGGGGCGTATGCGAACGGCATCATTGTGGCCTTCGGTGGAGCTCCCTCTTGGGCCACGAAACTTGTGAGGGGTGTGCCGACATGGGTGGCTGGGACGCATGCGAAAAGCACAATTGGAGCCTTCGGTGGAACTTCCTATGAGGGCACGAAACGTGTGAGGGGTGTGCCGACATGGGTGGCCGGGACGCATGCGAAAAGCACAATTGGAGCCTTCGGTGGAACTTCCTATGAGGGCATGAAGCGAGTGAGGGGTGTGCTGAAATAGGTGGCGGGGACGCATCCGAGCAGCACCAATTGGTCCCTAGGTGGAGCTCCCTAGGGGCCACGAAGCGTGTGAGGGGTGTGCCGACATGGGTGGCGGGGACGCCTGCGAACGGCGCCATTGGGGCCTTCGGTGGAGCTCCCTATGGGGCTACAAAACGTGTGAAGGGCGTGCCGACATGGGTGGCCCGCATGCATGTGAACGGCACCATTGGGGCCTTAGGAGGAGCTCCTTGTGGGGCCAGCAAGCGTGTCAGGGGTGTGCCGAGATGGGTGTGGGGGACGCATCCGAACGGCCCCGTGTGGGCCCTAGGTTGAGCTCAGTGGGATCACGAAACGTGAGAAGGGGTGTGCCGAAGCAGTGGACGTGCGGAGGGCAGAGGCAAGGGATTGGAGGAGGGGGAGGAGAAAGGCGAGGGAACGCAGGGCGCTGTCGCTTCAAAACGAGGGCCAACACCACAGGATGGCTGGGAACAAAACTGGCATCTGACCAACTGGAAATAGTCAAGGCACTTATCAGTTTGATCTGTACCGTCGTGAACCAATATCTGATATTACACTGCGATCGAGAACACGCGTGAGCTTGGTGCAGCCACTGTGTCGTGCCCGCCAAATGCTGAGGAGACCACCACCCTGACGTTGTCGAGTCCAAGCTCCTGAAGCATCGAGCGCATCAACTCCTGGTCGCATTGCGCACCATGTAGTTGGGAGACGAAGTGCGACGAACACACGGACTGGCACGGCACTAGCAACGATGATGGCCCCTTGCGTGCCTATGCAGAATCCCGTGTTCGCAATGACAGCGAGACCTTTACCTATGTCGGGAGTTGGTCCCAGGGAAAGCGTGCCTACAAGGCGTACTGCTGCTAACAAAAATGCTCCTTCTTCTTGTCCTCCTCCTCCTGTCCGTTCCTTCTGTGCGCCCTCCTTTTCTCCTTCCGTTCTTCCGTCCCCACCCTACCTCTAAAGCCTGCACCCCCTTCGTTTCCCTCTCCTGGTCCTGAACGACATCGCCATCAATCGACGACGTGTGAGACATCTGCGCAGCTCGGCTCATTCGTCGCCGTGTTTTTTCTATGCCGGCGCATGCCACAAGGGTCCGCTGCAGATGGCTGCGAACCACAAGGCAGGCAGCGCTCCACCGAGCAGCACTCCGAGGGAATTCCGGTGGCCCGACGACGGATCGTCGTCGTCGTCCTCGAAGGCTGGCTTCTCGGGAACCCTCGTCAGCTCCGGATCGTCTGGTTGCCAGTGGTCGCCACCGATGTGCAGGCAGCCCGCGCGCTTGAGCTTCGGGCACATGTTGTCCTCCCACTCCTTGCTGCTCGGCGAAGTGACCCACGCCGAGACGAAGCGGCTGAGGCGTCTCGCGTACTCCTCGCTGGGGAGCAGATCGACGGGGAGAGGCAATTGGGCGAAGTCGTAGTACGTCATCACTGCCAACCTCTTCAGAACGAATGGCACTTTGTGGGTAGGCAAAAAGAAATTCAAATACACGGCAAGATCGCTGTCGGCACCAGCCAGAGAGTTCGCATGAAAGGCCCTCTCAATCTCGTGGCCAGGGATCTGGGACTGGAAGGGCTCTGGGATGGCGTCGACTTTCAGTCGCTGGCCCAACGACTCCATATCGTCATAATTCGGGTGCCTGTTGGTCAGCCCGCAGAGGGCGCGCCTTATGTGTCTTCCAAAGTTGGTGAAACCATCGCAAGCCAAGCTGTGGCCCTTTGCCCAGTCCCCGGCGAAATCGTACTCGACAAGCTTGACGAAGTGGGTCCCCGCCTTGTCCATGGCCTTGTCGTCGAGCTCGTCGCACACGGTCCTGGAGGTCTCGCCACACCCCGTCCAGCACATCGCCCCCAGCCTGTGCGCTTCCTCGGGAGAATCCACCAGATTCTTGCACTTTTTCAGCCTGCGCATGTCGGGGGTGTCCAGCAACTTCTTCCACACGTGTGGGAGTCTGATAGACGCTCCAATTTCCTGTACGTTCAGGACTCTTTCCTCTCCCGAACTAAATCCCGCCCACCCGCTCACGGCGTGGCCGCCGAGAGCGAGGAAATTCTCGATCTTGAACTTGAAGATCGCCCGCTCCGCCGCCCTTCCAGCGCTGGCATTCTTAGCGCGGATGCCCCATTGGTACCTCTCGAAGACGCTCCTGCCCTGGGTCTTCGATAAGGGCCTCACCTCGACGTCCTCCTTGACGTCGCACGTGCCGGCGGGCGCTGTGGGGTCATGTTTGATAAGCAGCTTCATGGAGTAACCAGTGATGTCATGGTCTACAAGGAACTTCACATCTATATGCAACTGCCTCACGACCGCACTCCGCATGCACGGCTCGACAACCAGAGGCGCGCGCGTCAAATTCTCGTCGTTCGGCGCGGGGTACCCAAAAAACTTCCGCACGGAATCGAACGCCACCTTCTCTTGCTTGATGAACTCGTGCCACTTGTCCAGCGTGCTTCCCTCAAGCCTGGTCCCGTCATTCCTGGGAGCACAGAGCGCACACGCCCGTGACACGAGTCGACGCTGGCGCCCCGCGACGACAGCCTGGCCGGGCCGATCCCGGGGCTGGTCACCAGCCGCTGGTGCACACGCCTTCCCGACTGCAGGTCTAAAAGGCGTATCCAACGATCCTGGGCCCAAGACCGGCCAGCCCAAGCTCGACGTCGGTCGCCGGTGGGCAACTAACGTGCCCCGGTACCTCCCTCCCCAAGTGCCCTGGCGGCCCCGTGATGGCACCCGAGCCGTCCCCCGGCCCTGCTCAGACCCGCTCCCATCGGGAGCGGCGAGAAGGTCTGATTCAACAAGGGTGATTCGACGGCTGCTGGGGCGCCTCAGGTTAGAGATGGGGGGCCTGCACGTCTGGCTGGGGGGCTTCAGATCTAGCGAAACCAAACTTGTCCAACGAACCCTTCTGGCAGCCTCCGCTCCCAAGACCTCCGATGCCGTGTGGCCGTGGCTTCCTGGGCCCCCGGCACTCAGGCCCCATCCCCTGGAGAGCCCAGAATCGGATCGGTGGACATCACATCGGCAGGCTTTAGTAGGCTGGCGAGGCCTGGAGGAGGAGGAGGAGGAGGAGGAGGAGGAAGGGGAGGAGGAGAAGGAGGAGAAGGAGGAGGAGCAGGAGGAGCAGGAGGAGCAGGGAGCAGGAGCAGGAGGAGGAGGAGGAGGAGGAGGAGGGGGGCCCGGCCTCCTCCCCCAAGAGCGAGGTCCCCGCCCGAGCTGCGGGGGGGGGGGCCAGTGGGGCCCTGCCTCTCCCGGGGGGGCGCCCCGGGCAGGGATCCGGACTGCCCGCAAGGACCTGCGGGGGGGTGGGGGGGGGGAGCGGGGACGGGAGCGTGCACTGCGCATCGCGTCCTCCTCCTTCCTCCTCCTCCTCCTCCTCCTCCTCCTCCTCTCTCCTCCTCCTCCCTCCTCCTCCTCCTCCTCCTCCCCCCTCCTCCTCCTCCTCCTCCTCCTCCTCCTCCTCCTCCTCCTCCTACTCCTCCTCCTCCTCCTCCTCCCACCCTCCCTCCTCCTCCTCCTCCCTCCTCTCCTCTCCCTCCCTCCTCCCTCCCTCCCTCCCTCCCCTCCCTCCCTCCCTCCCCCCCCTCCTCCTCCTCCCTCTCCTCCTCCTCCCCTCCTCCTCCTCCTCCCTCCTCCTCCTCCTCCTCCTCCTCCTCCTCCACCCTCCACCTCCACCCACCTCCACCTCCTCCTCCTCCGCCTCCTCCTCCTGCAGCATCGCCGCCTCCTCCTCCTGGTCCTCCTCCTGGTCCTCGCTCGTGGTGCCCTCCTCCTCCGCCTGGCCCTCCTCCCCGTGCAACTGCGGCATCTTGGCTCTACTCTGGTCCTCCTCCTGGTGCCGATGCACCTCGGGCTTCCTCTGGTCCTCCTCCTCCTCCTCCTCCTCCTCCTCCTCATCCTCCTCCTCTGGTCCTCCTCCTCTGGTCCTCCTCCTCCTCCCCCTCCCCCTCCTCCTCCTCCTCCTCCTCCACCTCCTCCTCCTCCTCCTCCTCCTCCTCCTCCTCCTCCTCCTCCTCCTCCTCCTCCTCCATCCCCCATCCTGCCCCTGACGCTGGTGACCCTGGGATCCGGTCGGGGGTGCTGCCGTGCCCCTCCCCCCAGGGGCGCCCGCCCTGGGCGGGGGGGGGAAGGAAAAACAACGGGCGGATGTCAAAAAACGTGACACACACAGGACAGAGGGCGACCACCGAGGGGGGGTGGGGCAACGATGTCCCCCTACCACCCATGGAAAGGGGGACGGCTTGAGGACTGCGAAGAAAGTGGGTCCTCCTCCCTCCAGGGGAAGCCCGAAGGCATCCATACCGCCACTCCCTGGACCCCTCCCAAGGTGCGTCCTGACCATGAAACTTCCAGGCGACTCCAGCCGGGGTGACGAGGGCCTCCCAGGATGCCCAGAAGAGGAAAGGCGAAGACGAGGGTAGGGATAGTGACATCGGTACCTGTTCCTGTTTTGATAACAGGGGATACGTCGATCCCTGTCCCAGGCTTTGGGATGTTTTCGAATGGACAACAAATTCAGGGCTCAACCCCTTGGGATATAAGATGGGGGGGCGTCCATCCTCGATAAGGGGTGCGTCCGAATAGGCCCCTTTGGGTGTATCCCAAGATTTCCCATCTGTTCCTGAACGGCCCAACTTTTCAAGCGGAACTCGGGGATTGGGGGAAAAACTCCGCCGACGACTTGACCCCTCAGGTTGATCCGTGGCGTTGGAATCCCGAGAACAATGATTTGGCATGCTTCAGGGTCTTCCAACGGTTGTCCTCCAACGAGGCAGTTCCCTCGTTGGAAATGGACCGTTGTAGGGGCCTATGAAGAGGGAGCTTGGAGGGAGGGTCTATTCCAAAATCGTTGATGACTCTTGGGTTTATACTGGTCCTCCTCCTCCTCCTCCTCCTCCAGTTGGGCAAGAAGGGGGGGGGGGAGAGGCTGTGGCTATGGCCGCTCCCTGGTGCCCACAAGGCCCTTTCGCCGCCCCGCCCGGCCTCGCGTACAGCGGGCAAGCCTGACCCTCGACGTTCCTGAAGGCCTCTCGGCAGGGGGGCAGCATGAGTCATGGGAACGAAGGATGACATACAGCGGAGGCCCGAACCACAGGAAACCTTCCACAAGACACCCAACCCCGAGACCCCAAGACTTCCCTTGATTCTTGGCGTGGGGACGTCACCCTTCCCACAGGAACGCCATCGAAACCAAAGAAACCCAGGGCACCCTGGAGGCAAGCAGGGTGTTCATGGGCATGGGCCCCACTGTAAACCTAAAAACTCAGAGGTCCGCGCGGATTTCTTGGGTCGGCGCTGGACCCCCCTCCCTGGCGAGCGGAGCGCGCCAGGGGCGGCGCCCTGCGAAAATTGCTTTGTTTTTCTGCAATCGCCTCGGTTACGCAGGCACGCGGCTCGGAAAACGGGTCGGGGCGCTGGGGTGGGGTCAGAGGATGGGGTCTGAGGGGATGTTGACGCTTAGCGCCCGTCCTGGCGGGATCCATCCCGGGCCCAGAATGGGTGTGAATACCCTTCCGATTTGGCCAAAAAAGCATTTACGCCGGCCCAACATTGGCCTGGCAGAGACGGGTGTTGGTGCGCATGGTACCGTCAACCCGTGTCAGAAGGATGCGCAGGAAGGGTGGAAGTGCCGTGGAAGGCCATGTCGACACTTTGCGAGCGGGGCGCGGCCAGCGAAAGTCGTTAAGGGCAGGCCGAAGGGGCAAGGATGCAAGGCTACTCTTGGGAAGCTTGTTCATCCTTATTATTCGGGTTGACTTCCATCCTTATCATGCGGGTTGACTGTAGTTGGCATTCCCCGATGTTGGGGGCGTACTTTTCGAGAGGGGCGCTCTAATCCCAAGGAGCCCCCGTGCCCGTTTGGAAGGCTGCCCCCTTCACCCTGGCCCCATTTTGCACGCCTCCGAGCCTGCTTCAACTTCGCGGCGTGGCCGTCCGCACTGCCGTTCTCCCACGCCTTCAGGCCCTCGCAAGCGGGGGCAGGATGAGGAGGGCGGGGAGCAAGAGGGAAGAGGGCGGAGCGGATTCGGACCGTCCCTCCTTGATCGACTCCGAGAGCTCCAGGCAGAACTTGGGGAACCCGCCCCTCTCCTGCAGCCACTGCTTCCCCGCGTCGCCCCCCAAGCAGCTCTGGCTGATGGGCTCGTGGTCTGGTGGGCCATGCTGAGGGCCAAAGAACTCAAAGAACAACCAGACAGACCGCTCCGGAGGCTGCCAAGCAAACTCGGCGGACCCGTTGTTATTTTGGCCTTCGCAAGGGCTGTTTGGTCGTTCTCAAACCTCCGGCCCTCTGGTGGCCAACCGGCCACGGTGATGGGCGTTTTCTCCACGTAATCGACGAATATCCTTCGAGAGCAGGGGTGGGATGAAAACGGCGGCGCAGACGCTCCTGCCCGATTTCCCCAACAGCTCTCATGCCTCCTGGGCCTTCAAAGCGGGCGCCCGAGGGCGAGAAGAGGAGGGAGGGGAGAAACGCGAGCGAGCAGAGGCCGGGAGGCAGTGGGAGCAGGAGAGCGCTAACAACAGTCCCAGCGCACCCGCCCCCCAGCCGCAGTCTGCCCCGAAGCAAACGGGCGGAGGGGGGGCAGACTGCTGGCCTGAATGGGGGGCCGAGACCAACGACGCACAGCGCGGCGCCCTCGGCGGCCGCAGCGAAGCGGGCCAGGAAGGGCAAGCTCACCAGCGTGCCCTTGGAGACGACGCCGAAGAGGAACGCGTCGTGCAGGTCGAACCCTGCGAACTCCACGGGCCGTGGCCGTAACTCCCAGAGTTCGTCGTCGGACTCTGGGTCGTTGGTGGTGCCAAAGGCCACCACTTCATCGTAGGAGCCCCCAAAAATCACGCAGCATGGTGCTCGTGTCCAGCAGTCTCGATGCCATCGCGCGTCCACGCTTGCTCGTGGGCACATGGAAGTCAAAGCTGGCAGCAGGGTCTGGCCAGCGCTTGGCCCTGCGCAGAAGAAAAACTGCGCGAGGTGACCGTCGGGCTGCGCGCCTCCTCGAGCCTCGCGTGACTCGTGCATGCGCTCGGGCGCCGCAGGCTCGAAAAATGCCTGGTGTTCTCCGCGAGGCGTCCCGATCCCCTCGCTTGGCCCGTGCGCGTCGCGCCCGGTCCATGGCGGCGCGCGCTTCCTGTGTCAACGCCCTTGCAGCAGGAGGAGCAATGCAGCCAAGCCTCAGCACTGCCATCAACGCAGAGCTCGGACATATAATGGCCATGGTTGTGCCGCGGCCGCGGGCTCCAAGCTTCCGCGGCCGCAGCTGACCCCCGCTCGTCACTAAGGGGTCTTCCTCAGGCTCGGGGAAGGCGCGGTCTTTGAACTTGCCCACCTGCCTTGGAACTTCACTTCGAAAGCCGCAATGTACTTTGGGGTTAGCTCGTGAAGCCTGGCTGCCCCTCGCAGCAGGGCAAGGGCAGAAGCGGCGGCGCGATGAAAGCTTGCGCCCTCCTTGGCCATGGCGCCCACACCTTCAGCCTAGTCCTTCTCGAATTCAGATAGGCCCTCTCGCGCATCGTTATGCGAGGTGTGGACTTTCACTGGCGCGGCAGAAATCGCCATTCAGGGCAGCGCGTCTCCACGCGTCCGCTCGAAGGTTGTCCGGGCCGCGCGCCTGGCCCACGTTGCGGCAGCAAGTGATGGCCCCCTTGCAATTCGAGCGCAGCGTGAAACTTCCCGGGATCAACTGGCTCGCCTGAGACAGCTCGCAGCCTCCGCCGTCGCGGGCCACTTGGCTGGGGCTTCTTTATTGTTTCTCCTCGGCGCGGCGCCCAGGAAGCGGCCCAGTTGCAGAGCGGATTGGCGCCGACCATCCAACTGATCTCACCTCTGGGTGCTTGGCGTCGTAGCCGCTGCCGCCCGCAAAGACGTGCCCGCCCTGAACTGTGATGGGCCCTGTGCGGCCCACGTCGACGAA